AAGAAACAGTAGGACAGGGACGGTAGGCACATTGGTGCGCTTATGCATGCCCCCTACAGACCTCTTAGGAAAGGGGTGAGGTCAATAGTAGACAGTCTAAGGTTAAAGTTTTGGGGGTTTGGGGAAGAAACCACAGAGTCAGGTAGCGTATTCCAGACATTGACCACTCTGTTGCTGAAGTCGTATTTCCTGCAATCAAGTTTGGTGCGGTTAACCTTGAGTTTGTATCTATTGTGTGCTCTTGTGTTGTTATGGTTGAAGCTGAAGTATTCATTGACAGGTAAGTCATTGCAATGTATGATTTTATATATCATACTTAGATCAGACTGAAGATGGCGTAATTCAAGGTTTTCTAGGTCTAGAATTTCAAGTCTGGTGGCATAAGGTATTCTACAATGAGTAGAGGAGTGGAGAACTCTTCTTGTGAAATATTTCTGGACTTTCTCAACTGTGCTAATATCAGATACGTAATGTGGGTTCCAGACCGATGAGCTGTATTCGAGTATTGGTCTAGCAAATGTTTTGTATGCTCTAGTTAGTAGTGTGATATTACCAGAGAAAAAGCTATGTAGGATTAGGTTAACAACTCTTAACGCCTTTTTGGCTATGTAGTTACAGTGGGCTCTAGCACTTGGATCATTAGAGATGAGTATTCCAAGGTCCTTGACAGAGCTTGGATCATCAACAAGGTCTTGACTATTCAGCTTGTATTTTATTTTCTGATTTTTTTTTTGCCAATATGTTAGACAGAGCATTTATTTGTTGAGATTTGAAGTTGTTTAGAGGTGAATATTTTGTTTACATCTCCTGTGTTTTATTTATGAAGCATCCAAAGGTAGGAATCAATACTCACGGTTTATTACAGAAACAGCCAGCTGTAATGTCATAGTATCATCAAAGCTAACGGAATAGTGAACGGGGAGATTCGAACTAGGTTAAAAAGTGAACCCAATCTTCATCTGTACCAAGTGAAAATAGTTGGATACATATCTTGGTTTTTCCCATTTTGTAGCCAGGAAAAGAAAAACCTTGTAGAAGACAGAACATTCTTCTTTGGCTTCCACCAAGAGCTAATTTCACAGAGTTTGCAGGGAAAATGAAGGTAATGGAGTTTAAAAACAGCATTCCTCTACTATCTTCATGATCTCTGCGTACTGGAAAAAGTGAATTCATAGCAGACTAGGAGAACAGAAAAGTGTCAATAGAAATAGTAGTTTATCAATGTTACCAGTGTACATATTTCAGGCAAATGTGATATTTAAAAAAAATCATAGTCTACAACTATAACCTTTTATAGAAGCATCTTCATAAGAGACTCCTGGTAACAAATATCAGTAGTAACAATGTCTTTTGTTCCTTGGAGACAGCTTTCAGTTTCTATATGAAATTTAGAATTAATCACAGGAAAACATTTTTTTTCTACGCAGATGCTATGCAACTCTATATTGGTCACTTTGTGAATCAAGAATGCAAGGCTAAAATCTCTCCTGTTTTATTATTTCAACATCCAAAGATACAAATTAATGTTCCAGCTTTATTATAGTAACATCTAGTCATAATATCTAGTACTCTACTTAATTTGCATTAGATAAAAATTCATAGTCAAAGCACAACCTCTGAACCTGGGAATAATTCATTTCTAGCCCTATAATTCAAAGAAAATTGTGACTATACAATCATTATGGCATAGCAAGGCTGTAATCAAACAAAATAGAATTTGTTTTCAAATAAACATGTTGGAGGGGGAGAGAGAGAGAGTTCCATAGAATATAAGCGTACATTTCAGGAAAATTTCTTTCTGAATAAATTATTTTCAGGATGTGTTATATTAATATTACCAAAAATAAAATGAAATGAAAGAAATCTGCAAAAAAGAAAACCATCATAGAAGGAAAATACAAAAAAGAAATTTCCTGACCACAAACATAATAAATAACACTTTATCAAGACTGAACTATTTCCTTCAAGTCTAATAAAAATTAGCTTTAAAAAAACAGCACCAAATATATAAGAGACAGATAGATAAAATAGTAGTCATGTCCTCACTCTTTTTGGAAATAAATCTGATGGTCACTTGGGTTTATTTCGAAATAAACCTGTGCAGAATTGCACTGCACAATTATTAAAAATATCACTGGCCAATTCAAGACACAGGTGTTACAATCACTGCATGGCTCTTAAAAGAATATAGATTAACAAATCATAGCAATAATTTAACTTTATATCACAGTCTTTAAATTTACCAAGAATATTTAATAAAAAAAAATGAACAGATGTAAGATTACAAAATCCTTTGGACCTGAAGAATGTCATAGCAACAAAACGCAGCACACTCCCTCTTGCTCCTCAGGCAAAAACGAGAAAGCAAAGACCTTTCAAAATATACTTATATCCTCATATTTGTTAAAATGTTCCCATTATCTGAATTAGAAAATTACACCACAATGAAATATTATGCCCCACGACAAATGATAAGATCACATCCTAGAATATCAAGTATTTTCTCTTCCCTTTTCCTGTAAAAATGTATGGAGGAAAGAGAACTCAGATCCCCAGGTCCAAGTAGTTGTTTGGGCAAAATTAGAATAGCAAACATCTGGGTAACATCAGAGGTAGGTGTTCCTCCTAAATTCCCTGACTTGTTGAAAGCAAAGATATATGCCCATGTCAATATGTTGGCAGTCAAAGACCTTAAAATGCCCTACACTGTTTTTCCCTCCAATGAAAAGAAGCAGCCAGCAATTCAGGTGATCTGTTCCCCATTGTCCTTACATCTGCTTCCTGTACATGGAAGGAGAATGGTATCCTCAGACTCAAACAAAGAAGTATCTAGACTTAGCCTTGTCTTTCAGTTCCTTTAAACTGCCTGAAGTAGTCAATGGTAGAGAGCCATTCTGGATGATAGTTGTCTGAGGACACCCATCATCTTCTGCTACTATCAGCAAAATCCCCACTTTTGAGGATTTGGCCTAATGGAATTACAGGCATTAGGCATTCCTCAAATGTAGTATTAATCAACTGCTGTTTTGTTTTTTTAAGGGCTGCCAAGAAGACAATTGCCGAGAGGGAACATGGAGTGCTTTTCCTCCACCCTACATAGATGCCAAGATATGGCCAGTCCTCAAAATCCACATGTGGTCTCACTACACATGGCATATCTTCCATTCAGGTGAGAAACACTTTCAGATCCTTTCTTCCTGATTTTCGGTCTTTCATCTTGTAGTTAAAATAAGTTTTTCTTGTTATCCCTACAAAATGAATGGATCGGTTGGATCTGTTATTGACTTCTTTTTGAGTAATGAAACATCTTCCAGCAAACAACCAAGCTCAGAGAACACCAAGGACTATACAGTTTCTATTTCTTTCTTTTTCTGCAACTGTCATTTCACCTGTTTGGTTTCATTTCTCACCAACATCTAGGAAGAGTGCAATTTGTAATATTAGCTAAACATTTAAAATTAGTGAGTTCAAGGTTTGTTTGTTTTTTAAAAAAAACATTCTGCGGTATAAATAGGGCACAAAATCAACCACATACCAATTATGGTTTGTGAAGCAGAAATCACAAATTTTCTAAAGTGTCTAGGAATGGAAAGTGAAAAGCAAAATAACCGAACAGTTAAACATTTAACATTTAACTTCCACCTATGAAAATTAAGCCCATGTTTTATTGCAGAATGTTAAACAAAATAACAAATGGAGAACAGATCCGATTGGGATATTCTTTTCAGTAATGCAGGCATATTTTTATGCATTTATGTTAAGTTCTGCTGCCTATTCTGTGCGCATGTTTGTCCCACTATCTTTTTTCCAAATGCTCATTCAGGAACCAACGGAGGCTCTCTTTGCTTCTTCTTTTTTAATGGATAGTAACTAGGAAGACAAATAGTTATGAGATGAACTTAAAATTTCTACACTACATGTGGCGGTCTTCACCCAGATTAGGAACACCATATACTTGCTTTTGAATAATTAGAAAGTAAAAGAGCAACTTCACGCTGCAAATCTAGCATAATAGGTAGCTTGATCCTAAATCCATTATGCATAGTGCATACATCTGCATTTTTTATCTGAATTCTGCATTAGCTAATTATAAACCTGACAGAGTGAAACAATGCCTACTATGTTTCATTTTTTATTATCTTGACACCATTGCAGCAGTCACCTACTTCAAAGATCTCCAGAGCCTCTTTACAGCTGCAGGCCTATAGTGATCTGGTACTCCCCCTTGTTTTCCTAAAAGTGTGTGTGTGTGACAGTTTAAAATTAGGTCTTAACTCTTTGATGAGAATATTTGAGTTGTAGAGAAAATACATTTGGAAAACACTGTTCTAAATCACAGACTTTCTCTCTGCGTGCAGAAAGAAAGTGCCTTCCATTCCAAAGCCTTAAGTATACTTCCCAAAGGCCGTTTTATGCTCTCTTCATGTCATTTATATGACTGTTTGGGAAGATGAATCATCAGGTATCCTGGACGTTTTATATAAAAGTCAATCAGTGCAATATAAAGGCAGACAAGGAACAAAATATTTCTGATAATGGAGTGCAAATTTAGCTACATAAATTCAGAGCAGGAAGAGCCTGGAATGAGAGTAGTCAAAACCTGAAGTTTGCATCGTCCACTTTAATTTCCCAGCACCTCCACTCTGGGGAGTTTTTGTTTTGCTTCAGTTTATTGTTTTCGTAACTCAGCATTGGGGCTTCTGTTCTGGTTTTTCTCCAGGCTACAGATTTTCTGTTGGAAATCTGATTTGTTTTTCATAAGCACTTCATTTCTAGCATACACAGCAACAACAGTTGTTTAGCAGTCATAACAGATATTTTAATTTTCAGCATGCTAAATACAATCTCTGATTATTCAGCAGTGACTCAATCATCCTGAAGGCATACCCAGTCTAACAATGAATTTCCCCCTCCCTTGCCTTAACTCTCTTTTTCATACTGCATTTTTTAAAAAAAGAAAGAAAAGAAAAAGAAAGAAAGAAAGCAACGATGGGACTTACCTGTAGAACGCTGTGGGAGCAGCTTCTCTCAGGGCGAAACTGGTTGCTTCGTTCTCAAGGTAGTAAGGTACCTGTTGACTGTGGTGATGAATAAAAGGCGAAAGTTGTGGAGCCGACTGTAAAAAGACAACAGGGCTTGGGGGAACATTGTTCAGGGAATGAAATCCTCCCAGACTGCTGGTGCCAAACGATTCACTCGCAGGAGCATAACTGAGGCTGGTTGAGCTGTACACTGGAGCGGCAGTGGAAAAATCGTAGGCAGCACTGTCTGGGTAGTTAAACCCCCCAGTCTTGCTGCTGTCCACATACATTTCGCTGATCGGTTGTTCCAGAGGAATCTTCAGCTGTGGTCTGCTGAGAGGCTCTAATTCATTGCCTTGTATTTGGTGCAATAAGGCAACCCCAGTGCTTTTTGTGTGAAGGGTCATGGTCATTGGCAGTGGCAGTGAACAAGTCGCATTATCTAGGCTCCGTGCTTGAAGAGGAATCAGCAGCCGGCTGTCCACCTGGAAAGGGAGCAGAAATCGAGTGGAAACATTTGGCAAAAGTGTGCTCCTCAGCCACGTTATGCAACCATGCATGTATCCAGCTTATCCCAGCCAGAAGAAGACACAAGCAAGGTGAGTGTAAGCACCAGGAGCTCTTTGGCTTTCTCTTTCTGCTTCGGAGTCTAACTTTTCATCTGAGCTAATATGCTTTACAAAGGTGCTGGCACTGAGCCAGGTATTTGCCTTCCCTGACATTGGTTTAAACATCACTCCAAATACAATTGCTTCTGGATCTCTACCAAATAATTGTTCCACTATTCTAGTCATTTAATTTTTCACGATATGTAGTTCTAGTAGTCAAAAACAGGCACGGGAGAAAAAGGACAGAGAGGCGCTGATTCAAAAGCTCTGTCCGTTTACACTGTATTTAGTAATAAGCTGGCTCCAATTTATCTCTGCTTATCTAGACTTCTTGTTTTGTTCATTTTCGTGTTTGTTAGAAATATGTAATGTGTACAGTGCAATGACCCTGAGGAAGACTACAGTGTAACAGAGATACAGTATGGCAAAGTGTGTTTGTGTGGCTGCACTTGCTCCTGGGTGCAGCCAGCCACAAACCATCAAATTCCAGCAAACAGAAATGAAAGGGTGGACTATATCTATGTAGGAGAAAAGGCACACAAACAGACTTAGCTTGCTGCAATTATCCTGATTTCTGTTATTTAGCTAGAGCCCAGTGCTTTTAAAAAAAAAAAAAAAGGAAAGGAAAAAGAAAGATAAGTTAAACTTGCTGCTGTCTCATACTTATTATCAACACAAGTCTTTGATGTGAATTTAAAATGAAGCAAAATATATAGAAATGAAAACTAAACATGCACCGGTCACATAATTGCACATTAGCTATAAGAAGAGAAACCAAGCAAATAAAATATTCATTTGGAGTTTTTTTAGTTTTCTATTGCATATTTAGTTTTGAGATTAAAAAATATCATTTTGGATCTATCAATGTAAATAGATTTTGGCACACTCAAATAAAATGTAATTAAAACAGAATTAGAATATTTATTTTATTATATCATACACTTAACTCTATAAAAAATTATTTGTCCAGCCTATTTTTGCCAATAGAAAACTATGTACTTCTACATCATTTATAAATGTCTATAGTAATATAACAGCTGATAAAATGTACTTTTTACCTAATACTAAAATATTCAAATTTAGTTAGCCAATTTGAATTAATCAGATTAGGTTATTTCAAAGAAGATTTTTTTACAATTATGTACTAAGATCTCTTGCTTAGTTGACACATACTATACATACACAGGACTGAACTGATAATCAGTTCTGATAAGAAATACTTTTGAAACAATGTTGTGAATTATCACAAAAATGTCTCTGTTAAGTAAGCAACGTATATTTGCCAATTCTGCAAGACACAGGTTAACAATATCTGAAGTCCAATGAAACCCTAGATTTTCTCAAAATATAGCAAAAGCAATCCCAACATGGCATTGGTCATAACTATAATTTTTCATACAACTGCTAAAACATTTCTAATTATCATGACTGAAAATTATTTCAAGTATTATTCTAAATCTGAAGTCTTGATCTATTTGTGTAGTTTCTATTGGTCTCATCTAGTTCAAATTTTGAAAAGAAAGAAAGAAAGAAAGAAAGAAAGAAAGAAAGAAAGAAAGAAAGAAAGAAAGAAAGAAAGAAAGAAAGAAAAAAGTCACATACCTGACTATAGAGAGGCAGATCCTAGAGAAATTCTACCAATCTGAATACAGTACAAGCATGTTTCTGAGAACAAGTGAACCGATGAGTGCGTAGATCTGTTCATGTATTGACAGTTTTCATGAGACAGCAATGAAACTCTCTGCACACGCATCTTCTGAAATTTGAAACGAAATAGCATTGCTACATAAAAGCTCTAAGTTAAAGGCTAGCTAATGCATGCAGAAAGTTTATTTGTTCAGCCAATCATGTAATTTTACTCTCCTACAGAAGACTAGTTAAAGAAACAGATGTTTCAGCTGACAATTATTTTGAAGCTGGAATCAATCCTGTAGCAGAAGGTTATAGATTACCATAAATGCAATTTCATAATCTCTTAATCGTTTAACAAGATCTGTAAGATGAATGGGTGTTGTTTTTTTAATGCAGTTTTATCAAGGTATAAGAAAAAAGACTCACTTTGAAGTCAAGAGCAAACAGGGGGCATTAAGGTGTCCACAGAATAGGAGGTCTAGATAACTGGAAAGAGATTATAAAATAGTTGCAGTTGTGAAAGAGTGGGAAATTCAGGCTCCATGAGTAGCATCTAATAATGTACCATCCCTAACATAACAACACACCAACTGTTGCTTGTATCCTAATGATTTTTTGATTGTTTCCTATTATGATTTGATTGTTTATTGTACCCTATGACTATTATTAAATGTTGTACCTTATGATTCTTGACTATTGACAAATGTATCTTTTCTTTTGTGTACACTGAGAGGATTTGCACCAAGACAAATTCCTTGTGTGTCCAATCATACTTGGCCAATAAAGAATTCTATTCTATTCTATTCTATTCTATTCTATTCTATTCTATTCTATTCTATTCTATTCTATTCTAT